TCCTCCTCCTCCTCCTCCTCTTCCTCCTCCTCCTCCTCTTCCTCCTCCTTCTTCCTCTTCTCCCCCCCTCCTTCTCCGTGTGTGTGTGTGTGTGTGTGTGTGTGTGTGTGTCAGAGAACAACTTACTGGAGTCAGTTCTCTCCTTCCACCTTGTGGTACCCAGGGATTGAACTCAGGCTACCAGGCTTGGTGACAAATACCTTTTCCCAGTCCCCCCTCTCCTCTTTCCTCACTGAGCATCTCCCTGGCCCTTTTAAAATTACTGTTTATTTACTTATTTAGTCGGGATTTCACTATGTTATTCTGGCTAGAACTTGACATGTAGACCAGGATGGCCTTGAAGTCACAGTGCTTTTCCAGACTCTACCTCCCAAGTGCTAAGATTATAAACATATGCTACCAGGCCCAGTAAATATATAGCCGGGGGTGACCTCAATCCTGAAATCCTCCTGCCTCATTCTTTTCAGCATTTGTTTACCGATAGGCACCACTACTGCTGGATCCCTTCATTTGTAAAGATTTATTAATCTATTCGTACGTGTGTGTGTGTGTGTGTGTGTGTGTGTGTGTGTGGTGTGTGTGTGTGTGTGTCCTCTCTCTAACTCTGTGTGTGTGTGTGCGCGTGCACATGTGCCTGTGGAGAACAGACGAGAGCCTCAGATCCTCTGGAGTTGGAGTTATAGGCAATTGTGAGCCATCCAGTGTGGGTCCTGAGAACCAAATTCCAGTCCTCTGCCAGAGCAGGCAGCAAGTGCTCTTAATCACTGAGTCATATCTCTCCAGCACCCCCCCCCATGCATTTACACAAACAAACAGTGTAAGCTACTAAATTTGAAATCAGCCCGGTATGATGAAATAGTCTCATTTTTTTTCTTTTTCTTTTTCTTTTTTTTCCCCGGTAATCCCCAATCCCATTGGAGTCATTCAGAATGCTTCATTCATTTTCCTGTCTTGCCTAGAGAACACAATTTCTTTACAAATCAAGTTTCCCTTTGGACTGAGAGAGCTACCTCATCTCGAATGTCTTTCCTGCTTTCTGACAGAGCAGCAGAGAACCACTACCGTCCCCAAGAGAGAGACCCATACTCACAGTGGAGCAGCCTGAAAGCAGCTGGGGTGCCTAAAGGGGAGAGCTGCAGACAGCTTCCGCTCCGTGCTCTTTGCCCTGGTGAGTGGGGGAAAAAAATAACAGCAAATTAGGCCTCCGTTCAGCAAAAATATCCCTAGCCATCATCTGAGGACTATTTTTACAGCCCAGGGAAGCAGAAAGAAAGCACCGATGGTATTTTCTCTACCTCAGGATTTATTAAGTCAAGGACCATGCTAAGCAAAGTCCTTCCTTTCTCCACACCACCTTATTTTTAACAATCCTATACGATTGTCACCCTGAATACCCTCATTGTGAGGTGAGGAAAGTGAGAATCAAGGTTTCAAAGATGGTGAGCAGAGCACCTGGGAGAACTCATTCGTCTCACCCCAGAACGCCCTGGAAGCCCAACAAAAACTCAATGAAGAGAAATGAACCTGTGAATCTTTTTTTAATGATCCCATTTATTTATTTTTACATTGTATTTTATGTGTGTGGGTGTTTTGCCTGCATGCCTATCTGCATCATATGCATGCCTGGTGCCTGCAGACTAGAAGAGGGCGTTGGACCCCCTGGGACATGAGTTAAGAGGCCTGTAAGCATCCATGTGGGTGCTGTATTAAGAATTGGACCTCTGGAAGAGCAGCCAGTGACCCCAACCACTGAGCGGTAGCTCCAACCCCACACCTGTGAATCTTAATGGGCACTCTAGGATCTGTTCCTTAAGATCAAAGTAGTGATCCAGCTTAAGGTTTTCCCCCTTTAATATACGTTTAGACACTTTGCTTGAAATATAGTTAGTTCATTTGAAGACAATAGGCTTACCATTTCCTTGATCTACTACAGAGAAATCCATTTTCCATCCAATATTCAGCCTGAAATACACACACACACACACACACACACACACACACACACACACACACAACACACGCACACAAGCGCACTCATACATGCACACACGCACACCAACAGTCATTGCTTTTAAAAGACCCAATAGACTTGCTCTCCCCTAATACTAGTTCTTAAGATCAGACAATTTTCTGAACTCCAGAGAGGACTGATTTTCCTCTCAGGTGGTAACACATTTGGCAAGTAGTAAACTGGGTCTCTAGAGAGGACCATTCATCCTTGGGTACCATTTGTGTACAGAAATATTTAGTAATCGGACAATTCATCTTAGCAACTTAGACCCAAAGAAGACATTTGAAGGAACCTCCTCCAAATAATTTTCCATTAGGATTTTTTTTTTCCAAATGATAACTTATCTGTCTACCCTGAAGTACTGAACGGGGTCAGCGGGTGTTTTTCCCGGTTTAAGACAGAATAGGGGAGGTGGGATTGTGTGACACGAGTCACTCTGTTGTGGGGAGGCCAGATGGCAATGAGAGAAAATTCCGCAACACACTGGAGTGCTGGTGGAGGAAAGGGCGTTCCAATTCAGACTACGATGAAGGCCCTCCAACCAGGGGTGAGCCCAGGTGAGGACCTGCCACTGGTTAAGCTGGGCCAGACCGCCGCCGCAGGGGCCAGTGCCCCGGCAGGGCGGAGTGACTAGAATCAGGCTTGGGGTGGGATTCCAGGGGAAGCGATGGGACCGGGACGTCAAGGTTGGCGAGGTGGGTTGGGTGAGCGCTCATCCCAACTCGGCCACTCAGATCGTCGGTGGAAAGACGCAAACGTTGCCCCTCCCCGACCCCGGTCCGGTCCCTGCACCCTAGGGCCTTGGGAGCTGAGCGGGGACCCCCTCCCGGGCCGGCGTCGGGGTCCCCGGCGCTCCCCTCCCCCTCTCCCGCTGCGGCGGCGGCGCAGGGGACGGGAGGAGGGCCGGGCAGGGGC